GTGAAATTAATTTCTTTTAAGAAAAAAACCTTGAAGATTTATTCGTATGATGAGATCTCTCGTAAATTTAGTAGTATACTTCTACGATCCTTCTTTCTTTACTCCTAATCCGTTCCTTTTAGGGCGGCTTAGTATTATATTATTATAATTTAACACTATTTGCTTGTGTTAAATTAGGGTATTTATCATCCTTCTTACTGCAAATCTGACACAAAGATTTTCACTTTTCTTGATTTTCAGATTAGTTTTCTTAAACAATGGCTTAAGTGATTAGCTAAACAGATTAAGCTTAGTAAATTCTATATTAGTGTCTTTGTTTGTCCTTTTCTGACCCTTTTCAGGGTTTTTGGTTCTTGATTCATATATATAGAAAAGAACAGATTTTTTTGGTAGCTCTCTCACAAAAATCATTCTTCTTCCCCATACCTTATCCCTCTAATCTCTTTCTCTTATGTTCATCTGTTAAAGTTCCAATCTTTTGAATTTTCTTGGACTTTACAGAGAAAGAGGGAGAGAGAGATACAGAGAGAGGTCTAAATGGAAGGTGTTTTACAAACAAGAGGGCTTCTTTCTTTGCCTTTTAAACCCAAAATCAAGGCTTTTTACCCATTGCCTCAAGGGGGTCTAAGGAACAGATTCAATTCTTTAAGTAGTTTAAAGCCTAATCCTCTTAATGGGGTTTCTTTATCTTCAAATGGGTTTCAAAAAGTTCAAGGCTTTGACACAAAGCCTCAGTTGTTTGGCCAAAAGAAGAGGTGTTTTCCAATATGCAAAGCTGAGGCTGCTGCTGCTGCTGGTGCAGCTGATGGACAGCCACTTTTTGTTGAAAAGGAGCAACCTAAGTTTATGGGGATTGAACTTGTGACCCTTAAGAAAATTATACCACTTGGGGCGATGTTCTTTTGTATTCTGTTTAATTATACAATCCTTAGGGATACTAAGGATGTGTTGGTTGTAACAGCTAAAGGGTCCAGTGCTGAGATTATCCCTTTCTTGAAAACTTGGGTGAATTTGCCTATGGCTATTGGATTCATGCTTTTGTACACAAAGTTGGCTAATGTGTTGTCAAAGGAGGCTCTTTTTTATACTGTTATACTTCCTTTTATTGCATTCTTTGGGGCGTTTGGTTTTGTTTTGTATCCTCTTAGCAATTACTTTCACCCTACAGCTTTTGCTGATAAGCTTCTCAATACCCTTGGTCCAAGATTTCTTGGACCAATTGCTATTCTGAGGATCTGGAGTTTCTGCTTGTTCTATGTCATGGCTGAGCTTTGGGGAAGTGTGGTGGTTTCAGTACTCTTTTGGGGATTTGCTAATCAGGTAAATTTGTGTCCATGAATATATTTTGTACATTAATAACCATTTTTTGGATGCATAGTCTTGTTGTGTGGATAATATGTTTAGTTAGATTCTGATATTATCTAGTATTTGCACATTACCTCTTTGTTTCTGGATGGTTGCTGCTGCAATTTAGCGAGGTAAAAACGATCTCTTTATAGCAGGACCAGTCTGATATTCATGTGGTACCAGAGCCTGCCTTCTTGGTGTTCTTTTATAGCATAAGGGTGAAATTCTCTAATATAAGCTATAATGGTGGATGACTTAGCGAAGAGTTCTGTTTGTGGTACAGTTGTGCTCACTGAGTCTTGAAATATTGGCAGCATCATTTTGGTCTGCTGTTTTCTTAGTTGCAGTTGGTCATACTAATATGTAAACCTTTCATTCTGTTCCCCTGCTGTTATTACCATTCTAGCAAATGTTCTGGCTAGTTATAATATGATCATCAACATATCTATATGTCTGTAATCACTACCCTTGAGCTTTGGCCGGGGGTAACTTTTAGTGAACGTACCAGTGATTGTTTTGGATGATTTTTTGCAGATCACGACTGTCGATGAGGCTAAGAGATTCTATCCTTTGTTTGGACTTGGAGCGAATGTTGCTCTTATTTTCTCTGGTCGCACAGTGAAGTACTTTTCTAGCTTGAGAAGCTCTTTAGGTCCTGGAGTTGATGGTTGGGCTATCTCCCTGAAAGGAATGATGAGCATTGTTGTGATGATGGGTGGGGCAATCTGTTTCTTTTACTGGTGGGTGAATAGAAATGTTGCTCTCCCAACTCGTAGCAAGAAGAAGAAGGTAAATTCGCTAAACCATATGTCATTGCTTTGCAATAGGCAACAGTTACTTCCAAATCAACTAGTTGATGGTAGAATAAACTACTTATCTTTTAGTTTTTCTTATAAAGCACTGTCTGACATTAATTTGTTTCTGAGAAGCAGATTGCACCTCTTTGTCCCTCGTCTATCACTTTTACTAAAACGAAGATTTGTTTCTGGTTAAATCTTTTCAAATTATTTATCAATTGTTCGCTTCAGATTTTATACCTAGAGTTTTAAATTAAAGAATCATGTTTACATATCTGCATTATCTGACTGATGTCTTTTGTCAGGTAAAACCTAACATGACCACAATGGAGAGCTTGAAGTTCTTGGTCTCTTCAAAATATATCAGGGATCTTGCCACATTGGTTGTAGCATATGGCATTAGTATCAACCTTGTTGAAGTTACATGGAAATCAAAGCTCAAAGCTCAGGTGAATTATTACTGACTGCTATTTTTTTAATTATAAGTTTGGAATTCAGATTGTTTCTCATTTTGACATGCTATCTCATACGTTCTCTCTCTGTATCACTAATGCGCAGTTCCCAAGCCCCAATGAATACTCCTCATTCATGGGTGACTTCTCAACTGCTACTGGAATAGCAACTTTCACAATGATGTTGTTAAGTCAGTGGATTTTTGACAAGTATGGGTGGGGAGCAGCAGCCAAGATAACACCTACAGTCTTGCTCCTAACCGGAGTTGGTTTCTTCTCCCTGCTTTTGTTTGGTGCCCCTCTAGCACCTACTCTTGCGAAGTTTGGAATGACTCCTCTTCTAGCAGCTGTCTATGTTGGTGCAATGCAGAACATTTTCAGTAAGAGTGCAAAGTATAGTTTGTTTGACCCCTGCAAAGAAATGGCCTACATTCCTTTGGATGAGGACACCAAGGTATGATGATATACTTGATATATACTTTTAACTTTATGGTATCAGTGCTCTACAAAGAGCTCTTGGGAGTGCTAATTATATTCGCATCAGTGCAATCATGCCTTCATGTAAGAAATGAAATTTCAAACATGTGTAGCTGAAGCCTTTATGTTAGCGATACATATACATGCTTGGTGATGTATGTCACTGATGACAATATCTGTTTAGTTATGTATGACCAGAAAAGTCATAGTATCACTTAACAAGTCACCTGTTTTCTCTGAAAATTAATATGGAGTAATTTCCTGTATCAGGTTAAAGGGAAGGCAGCAATCGATGTTGTCTGCAATCCACTGGGAAAGTCTGGAGGAGCTTTGATACAACAGTTCATGATTTTGACTTTTGGTTCACTTGCCAGCTCGACACCCTACCTTGGCGGTGTGCTCTTAGTAATTGTTCTTGCATGGTTGGGAGCAGCCAAGTCTTTGGATGGACAGTTCACTCAATTACGCCAAGAAGAAGATCTTGAGAAGGAAATGGAGAGAGCATCGTTGAAGATCCCTGTCGTGTCTCAAAATGAAAATGGAAATGGATCTCTCTCAAGTGAGTCATCACTAAATCCCGCTGGAGGTGACTCTACCAACGCTTCATCGGAACCCTCCTCCCCAAGGAGCCTGTAATATCATTATTAAGATCACTTGCAGAACAAGAGGAATAAAAAGCGAACAGAAGATGCGTCAGGTGGTATCTTGGTTGCATTCCGACTATGAACTGATGTTGTCAAATCTTTGTTGGTTATAGGAATTTGTTTTTAATCGAGAGAAATAAATTTAGATACAAGAGAGGCATGTCACCAAATTTGCCATCCCAATATTTATTTTATTTCCTGGTAGTTACATTTTTTTCTCAGTTTTGTAGCGCTCCGAATTCTCGTTGAACAACTTTCTTTTGGCAATGTAAGCATGTGTTGTTTCTCCAGAAACTATGTTCTCTTGGTAATGCTTTTATCCGACTCAAGAATGTTTCATGACACTTTTGTCAAGGAGGTTGTGCATAAGATTAGTGAATTTTTATTTTTTTTGGTTCAAACTTGAGTAAAATATTCGCTGGCTCTTGCATCTTCATTCTAATCTGAAAATCAAAGTTAATTCAACAACATATCCAGTGAAATCCCACAAAGTGGGGTCTGGAGAGGGTAGAGTGTACACATACCATACTACTACCTCGTGGAGGTAGAGAGGCTGTTTCCGGAACATAGTAATAGTTAATAATTCAAAATATTAAAGAAAAGGTGAAAAAAGTTCAGGTTAAAGAAAAATTGTTTGGTTCTGTGAATAACTACACATTCTCATGAAGTTTGGCTTTGCACAAACAAAAGCATCTATTTGACTGGTTCGAAATTTCTGAACTTGTCGAAAAGTTTGGTGGGAGGAGTGGTGTGAGTCAGTGGTTTTTCTCTAACTTGTTTGTGAGGATGTTGAATCCCTTTCTAGTGGAATACTCGGGGTTGCTTGCTGGTACAGAATTGGCAATGACATCAAGTGATGTGAATATAAAAGAAGAATCTTGCGTGAACTGTGGTGTTGGTTTGTGCCGCCTCGTCATTAACAAGGTCCAATGCACTGTATTTGTGTGATATTCTGCTATGTTTTGCCGTTGAAATCGAGGCAAGTTCATTGGAAAATACTACTTATTTGCACCCAGAATTCTGAATTGTTAACCTTGAGTCAAAAGACATTGAAAAACAGCCTGCTTTCTTGATGTTGATTCATTTGGCTTTAGGTATTGTCTTTTCTTTACTCTGCAGGCTGTGGAACTTTGTAATAATTGTTTACTTGGTTCTACACAAAGTTCTCATATGTCATTATCAAAGGAAAACTACATAAATAAATGTAATTATGAAGACAGATTCCAAGTCTCAACTTTATATGGTTGCAGACAAAGCACTAGTTATTCAAATGGCAATTAGAAATGATTGATGGTTTCTGTGATCCTTTTGTTTTCCACCTGAAGAAAAACATTTCCTTCTTGAACATGGCGATTCTTCTTTCATTCCGCTTCCTCCTAGTTCTGGCTGTCTTAATGGTTTTGCTGATTTCTGCTCAATCATTTTCAGATTTTGAACCTTCAGAGGTCAAAAACATTTGCAAATTTAAACGCCTCGCAGAAGTTGAAAGAGAGTGCAAACCTGTTTTATCAGTGTCATCTAAGATGAAGCTTAGAAATGATAAAATATATGGTATTGCTAAAGATCTCTCTTTTCAGAATGGAGACTGGGTACAAGAGGCTGGCAGTGCACCGTTGATGCCATTTGATGAGAGTGATATGCCAAAGAACTTTTCTGACATTGGTTCCACTCTGAAACTAGCTTCTTTCTGGTTAATGGGCATGAATTTTGACCGGCAAGCAGATGATGTATTGGGTATCTGTGGCATCTTATCCATCGCAATTACGCGGAACAGGACTCTTTCAGACATGCCACAAAGATGGTCTCCTTGGTTCCATACAAGCCCTGGCTACTCTGATTTGACAATCATCTTTGAAGGACTCTATGTTGAGGAAGCCAATGGAGGAGACCGCCTGATGTGTTTATTAGGGACTTCAGTGTCCCCTTTTTCCAAAAGTTCTGTAGACCCTTATGAATGGTCCTCAAAATACAATTGCAAGAAAAATTTTCAGTATTCATTCGTGAAGGATGATAGGATAATGCTTATTCTTCGATACCCTCAGATCTTCACTTTGACTAGTAGAGCAATTCTTGGTGAGTTGAGAAGTCTAAATAAGAAGTCAGATCCTAAATATTTCGACAAGGTCCAAATTTCATCACAGCTGAGCTATGACTCGAAATATCATTTTGTATCTGAGCAACTTGTATCTAGAGCTTGCAATCCATATTCATGTCATGAACTTCCTGATAACAGAATTCGAGTCCACAAAGCGTCACAGTTTTGCAAAGTTCTTCAAAAATTTGGTTATGAAACATTTGACACTGATGTGGCTTCAGAGTGCCATGACATGAAGCATTGCAAGAATCTAGGACCATTTGTGCATGACTGGGAGATCACTGAAGGCAAGAATGCTATGTCCAACAAGTTTCAGCTCTTAATTACAAATTTGCATTGCTTACCAGAAACCAATTCCCCTAAGACTGCAAAAGTTTCTGCTGTCTTCAGAGCGCTCTCTCCTTCAGAAGATCGCTTCTATTCAGGATCAAGAACCAGTCTTTCTGGAATGACAATATCTGCGGAAGGAACATGGAATTCTTCCACTGGTAACCTCTGCATGGTTGGTTGCATTGGCCTAGAGAATGATGCTGATGGATGTGATTCACGAATATGCTTGTACTTACCAGGCACATTTTCTATCACTCAGCGAAATGTTCTTTCTGGAACCATCTCTAGCATAAAAGAGACTTACGTTCCTTTACGGTTTAAAAAGGAACTCCGTCCTCTCGACATCTGGAACACGTATCATGATTACAGTAAATCCTACTTATCCTACAGGTTTACAAGAATTGAGATGTTAAGGGCCTTTATGCAGAAAGACAACAGTTACAATTTGGGGATGCTGATTACGAAAATAATCCACAGATTTCCAGGCATTGAAGACGATAGAAACTTAACACTCCTTTCTTCTTTATCCGATGAGCTTTCTTTCCAGGTTAAAGCTCTTCCACATGCCATACGGAACAAGACTTATCTCCAAAACATTTCTTTCACTCGAGGTCCTCTCATTAGGTCATTTGTTCGGACGTCATTGGCCATTTCTAAGGGAGCATACTTACCAAGAAGAGGGTAAAGTTCCATCTTTCCTTGCTTATGATGATCAAAATATACTTTTAAATGTCTCAGCACAACTGACTGTTACTGAGAAGTACTTTAGTCACGTTGCAAAAGTCTTCCTCGAGGGACTTTACGATGCATCCAGGGGGGTGATGCATCAGTAGGCTGCAGGGAAATTCATAGCCAAAAGTTTATGGATTGCTTGATCGAAGTTAAGGTGCAGTATTCCTCCAAGACTACTAGGTGGTTGATAAATCCTACTGCCAGTGTATCCATTACTAGTCTGCGGAATCCAGAAGATCAGTTTTATTTCAGTCCAATCAACTTAAAAACAGTACTGATTCCATATAGAGACAACTCCAAGGAGGTCAAGTTTCGCCCGAACTTCGAGGCTTGTTTCCGTATATTTGTTCTTTTAACTTCTGCAGCTTGTTTGTTGAGTCAACTCTATTACGTTGAGCGAAACATAGATGCCACTCCTCTCATTTCTGCTGTTATGTTAGGTATTCAACTTCTTGGTTATGGTGTCCCTTTGGTCATGGATACCCCCATTCTTTTTGCATGGAAGGAATATCTTTATCCACAGAGTCGATTATTGCATACTGGATCGACTAATAAACAGTTCCAATTCATGATGAAACTTCTGCTCTTGATCATTTTTGTGCTTACTCTAAAACTCTTTCAGAAGGTATGGGATTCACGAAAGATCACTCCAAAGTCCTTATCTTTGAATCATAGGCCAAATGATAAAAAGGTTCTCCTGTTTGCCTCGATGATCCATGTGACCGGTTTTGCACTGTTTAATGTGTGTCATAGTATGTTGGCAGGGGAAACAGAGTTACTTACTCAACTAAACAAGTATTGGGGTATGATTCAAGATTGCTTTTTGCTTCCTCAAATAATTGGTCTCATGGAATGTAAGTTCAAAACTAAGCCTCTGAGTAAAGTTTACTACATTGGGTTCACAGTTGTTAGGTTTGTTCTTCGTGGCTACGACTACTTTAGAGATCCGGTTTTCAGTGTCTACTTTCACACTGAAGACAGAGCTGTAAGTTCCCAGTTTTTGTCAAAATTTGAGAATGTGGGGATGATGATGATCTTGTCATTTCTTGCAATAATATATCACATCCAACAGCAGAACTTCAAGACTAGCAGTTAAATGCTGACTGTTTGCTCTTGATAATGAAACAAATATTGTTTTTCTGCAGTGATGTTGGGTCATACTGTCAATTCCAAGTTGTTTCAAGAATGTTGAATAGATGCCTATGTATCAATTTTGTTTTGTCAAACTCAGCCTTTTCTGTACTATCTTATAGTCTCTATCCTAAGAGGTTTTAGTCATGCTTAACATAGTTTATTTTAGGCATAATACATATATTGGACCCTAAGCTTGGCATCAAATTTTAACTTTGACCTCCAACTTTCATAGTGCACAAACAGACAATTTAACTATCCAACCTTCAAATAAATAAACACGCGAGTCTTACCTGGCAAAATGCGTGATGTGCACTTATTCTGTGCGAGTTAGGAGTAATTTTCGAGGCCCACAACGGTAAAAAAAGGTTGAAATGACAACTCTACCCTTAATGAATCCCTTTTATATATATCTTTATATTTCCAAATCAAAATCTCATTTTTTTGTTCCTCCTCTTTCAAACCAAGATTTTTTTCCTTTCTTTAGAACGATTTTTGCTCATATTTAGTGCAAATGGCTTCTAATTTTTATTTTTTTTGTCATTGTGGAAAAAGAGCTATAATGAAGTTTTTCTTGGTCTGCAAACAATCCAGGTCGTTGGTTTCTTGGATGTGAAGATGGTTGGGTATGATTCAATTTAAGACATCTTTTTTTTTTGTTTAAATTTTAATTCTGAAGATTCAATTTTGATAGTGAATTTGTTCTTCTTAAATAGGTTGGATGCAAGTTTTTTAGGTGGTATGAACTTGATTATACTGAACACGCTAGAATTGCAATTTCGGGATTACAAAAGAGGATAAAAAAACATGATGAAGAAAAGGAAAAGATTAGGAGGAAATATCGAGTTTTGTTGATCATTGTGATACTATCTTGGATTTATAGAGAGTTCTTTATGTAGTAGATGTTATGTAGATTGATTGAAAAAGTTATGTCGGAATCATTTTGTTTGTAATGTAGTTTTCTTTATGGGTTAGTGGCTGCCCATATCTATTGTAAGCAATCAAAGTAATTCATTGAAATGCACTATTTTAGAGTTGGCAAGAGTTTGTCTTTCAATATTAGTTTCAATAGTCATCACTTTACAACTTACAAGGAAATTACTTCAATATACTAGCATGATTCACACACAGAAAATGCACTAATTCATACATGCTTTGCACCTAACATCAAGCAGTCTAACATCAATCATAACAAACACCAAAAGACTTCACAAAAAATAACTTAACATCCATTAAACTAGGGCAACTAGCTTCATAAATAACATCCAAAGATTTGTCTATGCAAACATGCATCAAAATAACCCAAAATACATCAAAATGATAAGTAATTGGAGTATGCCTTTACAAAACAGTTATCAAAATAAACAAAAACAAAGACCTCCTAAATCAATATTTGTCCACATCACTGACACTTTAAACTCTTATGGAACTCACTTGCCCTTGGATTTGCTTATTTTCCTTTGACAATTGTTGAAGTTGGTTTCCGGTCATTGCATCTTTTCCTTTCCATTTCAAACCAGGTGGCTTGAATCCAAGATCAATATTTGTTCGTGATGCATCTTTAAATGCTACCCCAGACCCACTTGAGATAACTCTTTCACTTGATCTTCCTGGCTTCATAATTCATAGGGAATTATTTAGTATACCTAAATAAATATGTAAGAAAATCAATTAAAGAAGGCAATATACACACGTTAATCAATTGTCTTTCAGATTGTATATCTGTGTAAACACCAAATCCCACATCTCTTGTTCTTTTTCTTTCAACTAAAGAAGTTGGTGGCCTTCCAACTGAAGAGTATTTTGGTCTTACAGTTGAAGAAGATGTTGCCCTTGCAGTTGAAGAAGATGTTGCCCTTGCAGTTGACTGTTGCTTTTTCCTTCCTATAACCTTTTAAGAATCTGCACATAAAGAAGAGGCATGTCCAGTGCTAGGCTGCCTCACTGGTGGTTTTGAAGGTTGCCTCACTAGTGGTTGTTGAAAGGGCCTTGCAGGCTGTTGTGTGGGGTGTTGAAAGGGTTGTAAAGACACAAAATTAGAAGTATAAAACTGATTAAAACTTAAAAGAAAGAAAAAAATTCTTACCACTGATTTACAAGTTCTTTTGTTATGCCCAACTTGATGGCATTTGAAACATGACATCCTCACTCCATTCTTTGATGTTTTTCCCCACTTCTTTTTTCTTGGATCATCTTTATCTTTTCTTCTACATCTACCTGGTCTTTCATGCATTGACTTCACTTCAAGAGGCTCAACTGCTGGGTTATTGGTGTCGGACCACATTACCATATTGGAGATGAGTTGTAAAAAGTACGTATAAGCACTTAGGAATGTATCTTTTTTGTACTAATGTTCCACATAATCTTCTGGTTTTTGCCCAATGTGATATAAGGCACAAACTACATGTTGGCAAGGCATGCCCCTCAACTGCCTCAACCTACAACTACATGCCTTTTTAGTCATGTCAATTATGTGTCTATACTCTCTTTCTTGGCAAATCCAATGTCATGATTCCAATTCACCCTTAGTGTCCTGCCAATCACTTTGTTTTCTTCTAAAATCAGTCTTGCCATATGTGAAATGTCACTGATCCAAGTATCTGCAAACTTAATCATATCTCCATGCCTATCCATCATTTTATGTCTAATATCTTCAAGCATACTAATCACAAATTTATGTCTAGGACCAACAATTCATGAATTGAATTTTCACACATATTATGTTTCACCACATCACACTTTGATCTTTCACTAAATAAAGCTCTACACCAGTATTCTTTGTTATATCCAAGCACTGACTCACATATTCTATCACCCAATTTGGCTATATAGTCCAATTCATCTCTCAATTTAACCTCAAAACTAGCTTTGGAACACCTCCAACATGCTTTTCTCCTTTCCTCACCCCTTCATGTTTTTTGCCAGTTTGCCCAAATATGTCTTGCACACAATTTTCTTTCAGCATTAGGAAGTAAGTCTTCTTCAACTGCTATCTCAAGACCTTAAGAAATATTTAATCAATAACTTTAAGACATCTTTACGATATCTATTAGCACAAACAATTTTTAGGCATCTATTAGCACATTTCACTTACTTCACACACTAACAACATCCATAGACAATGGCAGCAACTAACAAAAACAAACAATTTTAAGGCATCTATTAGCACCCTTCACTTACTTCACACACTAACAACATCACTTACTTCACACACTAACATAACATCCACAGGTAGTGACAGTAACTAACATAAATAAATAAAGGCATCTTTAACATAAGTATAAAGGAAACTTGACAGTCTTCAACAACTTAACTTACTTCACACACTAACAACATGCACAAATTTCCCACATAAGGCAGTAACTAACATTAATAAACAAAGACAGTAAATACCCAAAAGACAGTAACACAAGGCAGTAACTAACATAAATAAACAAAGGCAAAATAAATACCTTTTGCATGTCAAACATGACTGTTATGCCACTTCCATAACCAAGTTGAAAATTTTCAATGAGATAGCTTAAGAACCAACTCCAAGAGTGTTTAGTTTCTTGATCAACCACTGCCTAAGCTATTGGGTACATTTGATTGTTTCCATTTTTTCCAACAACCACTAATAATTCTCCTCTACAAGCACCCTTTAGAAAGCATCCATCCAATCTTATAATCTTCCTACAACCTTTCATCCATCCATTTTTCAATGTAGCAAAGCAAACATAGAAATATTTAAACAAGTGTAAGCCAGGGATTGTTTCATTAGCAGTTCTCACCCAACAAGAACTCCCAGGATTTGTACTCTTAATCATATCAGCATAGTCTAACAACCTTGAAAACTCAAGCTTCCAATCACCCAAGAACTTGGCAATGACATTCATTTTTGTCCTGTAACATATTGATCTTCACACTTTTAATCCCCATTATTTTCTTAGTGTCTCTTGAAACTTATGAACTCTCATGTTAGGCTGAGATATTATTCCACTCATCTTTATTTCCACATATTTAGTTGAGCACAACCTATTCCTATTCTTTGAAATACATCTATAAGCAGGATAATATTTCTTTACAAAAAAAATTCCAGAATCTTAATCCAAGCTTGCAAAGATTTCCCATTTACACTTTCCTTCACATTTTACCCTAACTCTATGAGGTTCATTGGGTTTAATCCTTAACTAAACCATATGTTAAACAACATAATCAGCAACATCTTTTCTAAATTGAGTTGCACTCTCAAATATCATATCCAACTCAAAGAAAGAAATGGAAGAAGAAGAATCATACCTCAGTTTGTTGTTTTTTCTTCTTGAAGGTAAATCAACAGCTGGTTGTGCTAAAACATCTAGCTCCTCATCACTATCTTCACTTGGTTCATCTGATGAATCAATAAACACTTCATCACCTCTTAATTTCTCATTATATTTGGCTGCCTTATTGGTGAATATATTCTCAAATCTCTTATCTATGCCAGCTTCTCCAAGCTCAACATCTTGATCCTTTGAGGGTCTTTTAGTTCTTTTTTTTTGCTTTGCAGCTTCATATTTTTTCTTCCTTAAGTTTTTCTCTAAAAGCTCTCAGTTCTTCATCAACTTCATTAACATCTTGATCTGGAACATCATCTAAGTCATCCTCTTCAAAGTCAAGAGAATTACCATTTTCTTCCTCTAATGGCTGTTCAACTTCACCAACCCCATTTATACCATGCTCAATGTGTGAAACCCTAGAGCAATTTCTCAGTTCTTGATTATAATTTTCAACAGAAAATGGTCCCAAAGTAATTGTAGCAGTGGACCCCCCTTCTTTAACAGTCACATGCTTTAAAAACAACTTAAAAGATAACCCACTCCACAAATCTTTAACAAAGTTATATAGTTGACTGTCACTTTCTAACTTGACAAAATTATGGGTAATAGGGTCTTCTGTAAAAAACATCAACTTCATCATACCTAATGTATTTTGCATACGATTTCA